TATTTATGAAATATCCCCATTTCAAAGAACAAATCTAACACTTCAGAGAACAAATTCTCACAGTTTTTGAGAAGAAAAAAAATATGTAACTGTAGTAAAGAATGCTAATTCTGGGCTATCTGGAAAATTGTCAGATCTTTCAGGTAGCTGAACCTACTTTATTATTTATCCTTCTAAGAACTGAGTGACTCCTTTGGTATTTAATATACATAAATGAATGTCCTACTAAAGGATTGCTATTAATGACTATACTATTACATATATTAGGAAGCTGTCAGATTCTTTATTGTTTAAATTTTTTTTTTTTTTCGGTGTACTGGGGATTGAACTCAGGACCTTCCACTCTCGAGGAAGGCAGCGGAACCACTGAACTAAATCCCCAGCCCCAAAGAGAGTTAATTAAATTTTTTTTTTTTTTCGGTGTACTGGGGATTGAACTCAGGACCTTCCACTCTCGAGGAAGGCAGCGGAACCACTGAACTAAATCCCCAGCCCCAAAGAGAGTTAATTAAATTTTTTTTTTTTTTCTTAAGATGGGATTCTTAAGATGGGATGTCTTTAAATTTTTTTCTGTTATAAAAATAGTAAATGTTCATTAAAAGATTGGTTGGGGCAGGAAAAGATAGGCAGATTAATGAGCAGCATTATCGTCAGCAGACAACCATATTTATCTTGTTATATAGTTCTGATTTTTTTGCATCTTTTTCTTTATCTGTGTATTTCGGATGTACACAGATATGTTTGTTTTCAGAGGCAGTTTTAACCTCCTAGACTTGACAGTGACTGTCCCTCCTCCTCCCTTCTCTTCCTCTTCATTGGCGGATTTCCACTGTCCTTTTGCATAAGCCATGGGGATGCCCTAGAACTTGTTCTTAATTCTGAAAACAGTTGCAGCTTGATTAATCAAAAAAGTACCTTGAGGGCCTCTGATCTGTGAACACCTGCTCTGATGCATCTGGAATGCAAATTGGCTGCTTAGCTTTTTTAAAAAAGATTTCTTCCCAAAGGCAAGGGTCAGATGCCTTCCAGCCTAGGAGGAGAGTTGTGAGGACTGAGAAAAATACCAGTTGCCTTACCAGAAGCCAACATAGGCAGAGCTTAAGTATTATTTTACTTATCTCTGTTGCTTTAATTTGTGAAGGATTTACCACGGAGCAAGGACCACTGTGCATTGTTGTCAGCTATTTTTGAGTCAGTTGCACATGATACACAGTATTATGGTCTTCTCAAAAGTCCTCTTAGTTACTTTCCAATGTAGATGCAAAACTTAGATTACTTCAGATGTATAGGAAAGTAGGATGGAATTTCAAGATCTTTTGTTATTTCTGCCCTTGTAGTAGAAAACAAAAAACTGTGCTCATTTTTCCTATTGTAATGTCATTTTTCTGAATATTACACTTTTATTTTCCCAGGTAATTCTGGTATACTTCTAGGTCAGCACTTTGAGCATGTCTCATCAGACATTTTTGTTGAGTATTTCTCTTCCCCCATCCTCACCCCAGCATCAGAGTCCTCTTTAAATGAGAAAATGGAACAGTGAGAAAGAAAGGTGGCAGGGCCTGGAGCTGTTCCTTGGCTGCCCCTTCCTTTTATGCCTCTTCCCTGGTGATCAGCACCTGCCTACTGTGAAGACCCGACCCGGGTAGGACAGGCTGTGAATTTAAATGAGTCGCTAAAGTTTATCTATTGAAGTTCTAAATTTATTTTGGGAACATAATAACAAGTCTTGGCCTGACGTTAATTAACCTACAATGAGAAGTAGGGCTCTTAACCAAGACTTTGGGAGACCATTGAACTGAATTAGAAGGCAGTCTTGCAAATGAATATTCTGCACATCAGCTGTGTCCATTGGTGTTGGGTACTCGCGGAATAATCAGTCAGGAGGCTTGGGTAGCCTGAATATTAGATGTTTGACTAGTGGTACTAGTTTGTCCTTGTTGTGTGAAAACTGAGTTAAAGAAAAAAATAAACTGGGAGAGAGACACAGGCATTAGTAAGATAGACCAGCATATTAAAAGTATTGCACGACTGGGCTGATGTGTTCATCTCAGGAAAGAATTTCCAACTTCTCACTCTGGGAACCTAACATATATTGTAAGATCATGCAATGACCAGGACAAAGTAAGCCCTGAAAATCCGCTGAGTTGGCAGAACTTATGTGTACACTTGGGCTCTAAATATATATGATGTGAAATTAGGTGAGCAGGCAGTGGTGATGGGACTACTCCAATAAAGAATTTAAGGGAAATTCATCAAGTAGATCAATATGAGTTCTTCAAATGTTTCTGCCTTTATTGCCGGTGAGACTCCCTCCTTAGTGATGCTAACAAGTTGGGATACTTAAAACTGGAGCAAAACAAAACGAGACTCTGATCTCTTTAAGGTTAAAGACAATACAAAATCCTACAGCACTGTCAGACCATGTAACTAAATACTTGAGAATCCAAGCTGCTGATCTGGGCCCCCCTTCTTGACTACTTCCTGAAAATAAATTAGTAGAGTGAATTGGGATCAGGAAACCCTGGCTCGATAAGGTGGGCAGTAGAGTAAGAGCTGGGATCTTTACCAACAAGTGGCAAGAAGTAGCTGAGATGCATTTGTTTTCAATTCATGTTTTCCCATTCTCAACTGTTTCCTAGTACTTTTTGGGGAGGAGGGCTCCCTAAGCTGTCCTTATTTCTTCACCATAAACTTGCTGCGTCACCAAATCTGCTGCTAATAAGTATTGTTGACAAGGAACTTAAGCTCGCCAGCCACAGCATAGTTTTCCCTGGATCCTGGTTTCCTTCTGGGCCCTCTGCATTTGCTTATTGAAGAGGACCCAGGGGTGATGGCTGCCATCATGACCAGTGTCTGGGCTTACCTTAGTAGTGTCACGCTGGTTCAGTCATGTCACCACACAGGCTAATAGTTTCTTCACCCCTGAAAGTGGAAGGGTAGATTTAGGTGATCTGTCTTGCTGCTGCTGGTTATAAAGTCTGTGTCTGAACTAGTTCAGAGTGAAGAAATGGGCAGAAAGTGACAGGACAAGTAGACTAGAAAGGGAACACAGAGGGCACCTAGGTCAGCCTGCTTGGTCTGAAGAGGAGGATGCTGAGGCTTAGGGCAGGGAACTGAGCATGCTTAGTATTTCACACATAGGTAAAGAAAGCTTTTTCTTGAATTTGCTCTTCAGAATTACTGATTAGCACTATATCTTTGCTTTACAAGTAATTTGGTATACATTTTTCTACTACACACCATACTATAACATGCCTTGAATTTTTTTCTTATTTACCCGACTACCTCCTATAATGCTTCTTGCTTTTGATAAAACAGTAGAGCAGGGTCTTTAAAGGGTAAAATGCCTTGAAATTGTATTTCTTGAAAGAAATAACCTACAGATTGTACTTTAAACTTTGGCCAAAAGTGTGATGAGCACGCAGAAGTATGATATTTAGCGAGAGTTCTCCGAGGTATTGAGACTTTCACCTCTTTGCTGAACATAGTACTGCTGCTTTAACATTCTGGTAGCCAGCTCCAGCTTCACGGCACAAAATGCTTTTGACCTATTCTGATTCTCTACCTCCTCATCACTTCTTACCCTTGAACTGTTCTTCAGTTCTCTCCACCAGTGAAACAGCATTTTGCACTCTGTTTTCACTTTACTGATGTGTAATCTTGGCTCATTCAGTTGTCCAAGGCTTCAGTGTTTATTGATGGACTGTAAATGGCCAGATGTTGTTCCAGGCACCAAGAGTACAACATGAACAAGGCAGCCAAGAATGGAGACCTGTGGGGCTCTAAAGTGCTAGAACAGAGCAGATCACCAAAGCTGGCAACTATTATAGCCAACAAGTACTGAGCACCTTCTAAAGGCCAAACAGTAATTAATGACTTGAAGAGTTTGCTCGCTTATGACTCACAGTAACCCAATGAGCCAGACATTATCTTTATCCTTTATTTTATAAATGAAGAAGCTGTGTCTCGAAATTTTCTCAAAGTCTTCTAACCAGCAATTGATGGATCTGGGATTTCAACCCAGACGTTTGTCTCAAGATCTGGGATGATTACCTCATTGTACTGCCTTTCTGAGAGAGACAGAAGTGTAGTTACAGACGTCCTCTCTAATGTATTGGCTGCTGATTTGCACAGGTACCTAAAGTTATAGGAAATACTTTATTCAAATGGCCAGTTATTTCTACAGCTATTTTATCAGCTTATTTTCTGTATATCTCTTTCACATGTAGATCCTTGCTTAATTTACTATTTTGATCTCCACTAAAATGAAATTCTATTAGGGCAGAGTTTCAGATTCTATAGTTCACTGCAATATCCCCAGTACCCAGGGCCTGGCATTATTCTCAGTATTTATTGTATCTTGCTCCGTATTAATTTACTAAATGAATTTGCCCACTTGTTTGCTTCATTTTATGGAATAGAATACAGCTTGAGATTAGATTCCCAACTGCATACCCTCCTCCAAGTCAATTTCCCTCCTTCCCTAAATCCTCAGAGTAACTGGTGTAGTAAATTCGGTGTTTGTCATTTTTATCTTTGTTTTCGTATTTTCATACATACTTACTGATGTATGTCCAGTAACTAGTATGTAAAGCTTCTTTCCAGGCCTTTTAGAGTTATTTGTATTTCTGATTTAACATTGAATTATATGCAAAACTAAGGAACAAATGTAGAAAAGTCCTGATATATCTAGTAAACAGAACTTCCCCAAACCCAAAGGAAGACCTTTCCTGTGCCTTGATAAATGCTGAAAGAAGAAATGTGATTCTTATACCAGATTATAATTAAGCATTAGCTCCAAAAATGAACCAGTTGTGGTTTTCTTGATTAAAGTTTAGGAACTAGATGTACTGAATGCATGCATCTGTGCCAGAAGATGGGCTGTGTCTTTGCAGTTTTCTCCCAGTAAGTGGGGATCCTAATTGTTCAATCCAGAAAATCTCAGCAGCAAAATCTCTGTGGCTTACCATTCTCAGTAAAACTTTTTTTCCTTCCTTTAGTTGAGACGAGAGAAGATTGACCTTGAAAATACATTGGAACAAGAACAAGAAGCACTAGTTAATCGTCTCTGGAAAAGGATGGATAAACTTGAAGCTGAAAAGCGGTTTGTTTGGTCTTGGTCCTCGGTGTGGGTTTTGTGTGTCTCTCTCTAGAGTATTGCTCTGGGAGTGACCAAGGGATAGCAGTGGGCCGTTTTAACTCCTTGGGCAACATATATCATTTTAATTTGCCAAAGGAAAAACATGTTGACCTTCTGAATTCTTCCCATATTGGTCACTTTTTCATGCTTTTGCTTTCTTACTTTCTGAGTAGAATTTCTCTTTATTTGGTGTCACAAGGCAGTGACAAAATTAATGATGACACTGTTGTTTTCAAGAGTAGTTGTAGTTTCAACTTTTCACCTTTTTCAACTGCTTTCCTCAGTTGATTTCTCAAGTATTTAGGATGCAGTCTGTGCTATTCTTACACATCTCTAGAATTTATCCAATTGGAAAGGCTGAGATTTTAATAGAAAACTACTGTTTTAAAATATACTACAGTGTAAGGAAATATCTCTACACACTTAAGGTGAAGATTTTTTGTAAATGTCTGGACATGTGGAATGTCATTCAACAACAAACATTTCTTAAATTCATGTCTGCAAGACACTGTTAAGCCCTCATTTTTAATCACTCTATGCATTGAGGATGAGTGGGACAGGACATATAAAAATGGCAAGAAGATTTTGTCTATGTGAAGTGTGCATATGTGTAAAAAGTGAAGTTTTTGGGAAAATGTTTATTCACTTCCTCAAAATCTTTTGTTTGCTACTCAAAGTCTTTCTGCCATAAATAGTTCGCTTGAATGGGCATTTATAAATTGTTTTTGAATTCATCTCTCAATTTGCAAAATATGGACATGGTACACAGCTTTAAGAAAAGTAAATTTAGAGATATATCTATAAGAAACATTCAAGCTTTGGTTGAATCAGCTATATTTTGCATTTTATAGCAGTAATAAATTATAAAAAGTCACTTTATACAACAAATGTAGGGACTCTAACAGTATTAACTAATATTAACATGCTAGTTTTCTCAATAAGAGTAGGCCTAGACGTAATTTACAGTGTGCACCTCCGCAAACTCAAAGGTTAAAAAGCTAAAAATAAACCCCAGAAATGCCAGGAGCATATAGAAAGGGATTAAAGATCTGTTGTAGGTCAGTCTTCCTTTATGAGTACAGCTGGAAGTTTACATATATTCATACCAAGTGGAGTAATTTGAGATAATCATTTTGTAGGTCAAAAGCTATTGAATTTTATGTGCTTCAACCTAATGATAATTTCTGCGTAAGCTTCTATCACTGATTATTAAATAATGTTGATTTGGTTCTTAATTTTTTACCTTTGCTGTGGCCAGAAGTCAAGGGCCCTTTGTCTAGTTTGCCATGGCCTTGACATTGGTTTTGCTCGAGGAATTTAGAAGGTGAGTTTCTTTATATGACTTCACCCTCTAAAGAAATTCGTAGTAGTTCGTAAGTGTGACCAAAAGCATTGAGTGGAATTCCTGTACTATCTCCATGCCCTAAATCCAACACTTTAAAAGTATTCCAGGCATAGTAGTCAGAACCCAGTATTAGAGACTTTTCAGTAATGCTCAATTACCAATACCTTTCAAAAAGACAGAAATGAGATTTGATTGTTTAGTTCTGCTCTTTGACCTGAGATGCCAACTAAGGCTGACCAGAAAGTGTAAAAATGGGCAAAGAGTTAAGCAACCATGTGAATGCTGGTGAATAACCAGAGCTTGCTATTAAAAGAAACCTTGTAGCCAGCATTTTATTTTCTCTTTTAAAGGCAAACTGTGTTTCATTATTGGAAATTTTCTTCTCATTGAAGAATCTTGCAGGAGAAATTAGACCAGCCCGTGTCTGCTCCACCATCGCCTAGAGATATCTCCATGGAGATTGATTCTCCAGAAAACATGATGCGCCACATCAGGTTTTTGAAGAATGAAGTGGAGCGGCTAAAGAAGCAACTGAGAGCTGCTCAGTTACAGCGTATGTAGCCTTCGGGTTCACTGAGTTTTCTGTCTGTTGAATTAATACGTGATATTACTTCCATTTACCAGTGAATTTGCCTTAAACTCATACTGTATTTTATTATTGAAGAATGTGTACATAAATTTACTACCATCCTGAAACATTTTTAAAAATAGTATAGTAGCAGATATCACTGTAGAATACTTTCAGAAGATAATTCAGGAGGGACTAGAATCGCAGGTAATATTTTTAATCTTTGCCCTCATGTTCAGTCTAGGATTGTGCTAACTAAACAGTGCAGGAGACCTCAATGCACTTTTGGAATATTAAGGTAGAAAATAGAATGTTTACCATCCTTACTACTAAATTTAGATTTGTTTGTTTGTTTTGGTGCACTACTGGGAATGAAACCCAGGCCGTTTGCACTACACCTACAACTCTTTAAAAAAAATTTTTTTTTCAAATTTTAAAACCAAGTCCCACTAAATTGTCTAGATTGGCCTCGAACTTGCAATCCCCCTGCCTTAGCCTCCCAGAGTGCTTGTATTGCAGGCATGTGTCACTGTGCCCAGCTCTAAATTTAGTCTTAACTTTAATTTATTTTGGTATTTAAAGAATAAATGCTTACTTAATATTTTGGAAAAGGCCAAGATGTTGAGTTAGAAATCAAAGGAATGAGATTTCTGAATACTTAATTATGTACCTGCATTTTCTTGGGTCTCCCTATTTCTGCTTATTTGGCTGCTCAAATTTACCTTGCTAACCAAATAACTGAAAGGTATGCAGTCAAAATGTAAGTCTGTCTTTCATCCCTGGTCCCCACCTAACCGGTTCTCACAATTACACATTTTTCCTATATTCTTCTAGATTATACATACAGGTGTGATTGAAAAGTATGTTAACTGTTTCAATTTTTAAAATATCATTACAGTAAAAGACACTTTGTGGTTAATACCCCTCAGAGTATTCCTCCTTCCTTCAAACATTTACCCTATCGTTCTTGCCACTTTCTGAAGCAGTTCTAGAAGTCCTTTCTTATGTCCTTAGTTGTGCTGTTGTAGCTGCCTGAATGTCCTAAATCAATTAAAAATGTTCCCCTTTCTTGATCATTTTGATTGTGGGCAAGAGCCAATAGAGAATCTGAGAATCTATACTGTAATAGTTTTATAAACCTGCCTTTCTGTCATATGGCATTCAGCAGCAGCATTCATCATATTTTTGATCATGCCTTGTAAAGACACTCATGAAAGAGGACTTCCAGAGCAAGTGAGAAGAATAATGAGATAAGTGTGTTCAAAGTGTGTGTGTGTTGGGGGGGGGGGTGTTTTGAATAGGAATAATGGCAGTGTGCCTTTCACTAAATACATTTTTTTCTAATTTAAGCATTCACTGTATATTTTCATCTCCCCTTGTACAAATAGTGGCACAGTGAACATACTTTTTTGTCCCTATTTTCATTTTTTATACCTTGAAGTGCAACAGGAAACCAAGCAAAAATGGCTTTATTAGCCAGCGGCTCAAAAGGGATTCATGTCACCTTGTGAACCCCGAATGGAATTTTCTTCTTCATATACCTTTTTTACATCTGCGAGGTTTAATTTTATTGGCGTTTTCCTGGAAATATAGCAAGCAGGATTTACACAAAGCAGAACAACAGGGGGGAAGAGCAAAGAGTTCTGGCAGGACTTTCTGAGTCCATTATGCTGTCTTGGTGACAGATTATAGAAGTTGTCATGGTTACTCAGGTGCATTTCACAAAGAGCGTAGTTACCTAGAAAACCCATAGTTGCCTAATAACACAGTTAACCCATAGTTGCCCAATTCCATATGGAGGGGTTGTTTCCTCTCTCAGAAGCATTTATCCTCCTGGTACATACAAAGCTGCCTTAATTCCCTTTTTAAAGGCTGCATGATATTCAATTCTGTGGATATACCATGAGTTTCCCATACCAATGGACGCTTTCATTGGTCATGCCACAACTGCGGGGCGTGTCTCTGTTATATGTGTTTTGTACCTATATATGAACACCTTCAGTATAGATCCTAGGCAGATACACTGGGTCAGAGGTAACATGCATCCACAACTTCAGAGGTTCCCATCTTTAAATTTGGTCTCTGAAGTTGATTGCAGAGATTGAAGTTCTGGTCCAATGATGTACATGGGATGTATCAAGGTCATCCCCAGAAGCTTTAAAAAGTATGATGGATTAGTTTCCTTTTTCTGCTACAATGAATCCCCTTAAACACAATGGCTCCAATCAATGTAGATTTATTGTTTTATAGCCCTGGAGGGCAGAAGTCTGCCAAAAGTTTCATGAGGCCAACATCAAAATGTCAGTAGAGCCTCGTTCCTTTAGGAGGCTCAGGAGAGAGTCTGAAAAGCTTTTATTTTTTCCAACTTCCAGAGGTGTCTGATGTGGCGCCCTACCCTCTCTGCTTCCTTTTCACATCTCTTTTGGAGGGGGGGTGGCAGGAGATGCTGGAGTTGGAATCCAGGGGTGCTCTACTACTGAGCTACGCCCTCAGCACTTTTCCTTTTTACATTTTAAGATAGGTCCCTCTAAGTTATCAAGGGTGGCCTCTGACTTGCAGTCCCTCTGCCTCAGCCTCCTGAGTAGCTGGAACTACAGGTGTGTGTGGTCATGTTGGCTCACATGTGATTTTCTCCATGATTCCCCTGAGTCTCTTTATAAGGACCCTTATGTGTTGGACCCACCATGATACTCTAATCTCCCCATCTCAAAATCTTAATCACATGAACAGAGTCCCTTTTGTTGTGTGAAATAGTAGCATTTGCAGGTGTTGGGGATTAGCTTGTGCACCTGAGACTCCACTAATACCTTATAGGCGTGTGGTCTTCTGAATTTGTGTTGTTTTAAATACAAGTAATTCTAATGTATATCTCAGGTTGATAATTTGCACTTACGTTCCAAGAAAACAAGTGAGATAAATCAGAGTTGTCAAATATTATCTTAGTCTCTTTTTGAGTCTGTTTTTTTTTTTTCCTGTGTTGGCTAGACAAATGTCTTTTCGCATCTTTCTGAACTCTTTCCAGGGCTGTTGGTTTGCCTTTTCCTTTTTCATTTATACTTGGTTGTTTTATAAGAAACTTGGGGAGAATTTTTCACTTTCACCTTTTGCTCCCCATGGCACAGTTTGGTAAGCATCTCTAAGTGCTGTTTTGACTTTACAAGGACAGAGAAAGATGAACCAAAACAGTAGCAAATGGCACTTAGCCTACAGTTGGTTCTGATTAGGCTTACAGGATGAGCTAATGGCCGTTCCTTAGTTCCTTAGCATCTGCCTCTTCCTCCTACATCACATGACCTGTGCAGTCTTTGGATGTTGCTATAGCAGTTGACCTCACATCCTCCAAGCTCCAGTGCACGTGAACTTGAACATCTTTCTCAATAGATGTCAGTTCTGGTTGAGCATTAAGTTTGCTGAGGAGTTCAGTTTACCAGTGGCAAGGTCTCATCCTCGGGGATTCTGATTTAATTGACTTGGTTAAGGTCTAGGCCTTGGTAATTCTGCCCATAAACTTGAAAGAAAGGAAATGCAAAATGTACAAGCCACCTTTAGACCCTTTGGGAGTCACTGCTTTGAAGTTTCTGGAAGTCACCCTCAGTTGCTATTTTTGACTACATTTGAGGAGGGGAGCAGAAGATGGGGGAAACAAGTTGTGACACACACCCCTCTCAAGGACTTAGGGAGCCCTGTATGAAAGGAGGAAGAGAATGACTCCTCCAGGTTAAGTCCACTCGGCAGTGTGCCAGCAGAGGGCACCCGAGGAGGGCCATGCTGCCAGCCATCTGTCTGGATCCTTGACACCTGGAGGAGTTGGGTCTGGGTTCTTTTTGAGGTCTTGGCTTCTGGGTTAATTGCTGAATTCCCAGGAAATCGTCCACTCCTCACTTCCAATGGCATTCTTATCTATAGTTTTGGGAATTTTTTTCTTTTCTTTTTTTTTTTTTTTTCCAGTTTCAGACATTGAACTCAGGACCTTGTGTTTGCCAGGCAGGCGCAGCACCACTGAGCTGCATCCCTGGCTATAGGTTATTATTTCAGGATTCCCCTGCTGACTCCTCAGATGCTAAAGAATTACCATTTTCTTTCAAAGACATTCTTCCCCTTAAGATCCCTCTGGATCTTCAATTCTGCAAAGCTTTCTTGTTTATGGAAGAGAAAATTGACTTGGCTCTGACAATCACCCTTCTGGTTTTATGCCCAGGGGCCAATTTAAGGCTTCCTGTAGTGCTAAGTGAAAAATTATGCGTGCTTGCATTTTTGTGAAGAAATGATTTAAATTGTTCATATTAAAAGTGCACTTTGTAAATATTTTTCCCAGCATGCCTTCAATTAAAGAGATTTTTGCATCTGGATTAGGCAGCAGGGGTTCTGGCTATGTTGGAAAAAAACAAGGGATTTAGTGTACATAATAGTATTTAATTTTGGTATTTTATTTTTCTAAAAGAACATTGAATAACTATATTTTAGGATGGTATGTTTTTAGAAATCATTGAACAGTTATTCAGAAGTCATAATTTGCTGAAATGCTAGATCTTCAAAGAGTTACTTAAAACTGAAACTAATTTGTTGAGTATTGGGAACTGAAGTAGGGTCAGCTTATGGGAGAAAAGTGGTCTATATGCTTTTAGCTCCTTCCTTCTTAAATTTGGACTGGGCTAGTCATACAGAGCAGCAGCCAATAGGAAACTGTCTTAGATGTACACATGATCTCTCTGAATTTGTATCTGTTTTTCAGAGAGAAATATATGGAGATTTTACTTTTAATAAGTTCATTGACTAAAACAGGGAAAGAAAGGAAGCAAGAAGAATGAGTAGATACTGAGTTTTACATTAAGGTTATTCTGATTACTTGATAACAGCAAATTCTGTCTGAGGTGAACCAGAAAGGAGGGGAAGGTGCAGGTTATATCTTTTATTAGAAGGGGGCTGAAGAGTGCTGCAGAATCTTAGGAAGAATAACCTCAGCAGGGCAGAGGAACTTGGCAGAAGTTAGATTCTAGAGCCTCATGAAGATTTCTGATCCCGGGGGCAGAGAATCCGAGTGACTCAGCCTGGGTCCATTGTCTGTGGCAGAGGCTGTACCCCTGCCCCAGAGACAGCTGGAGCTGACTGGGTATATGGGCAGCTCCTGAGGATGTGGTGTTCCTCATAAGCAAGACATCAGCCCAAGAGCTGTCAGCTGTGCTATACTTAGGTCTTCACCTGCTATCTGACTTAGGCTGCATTCGAGTCAGGGCAGTAGTGTCAAATACACCGCAAATGAGGCTTCTTTGAAATATTAATCTCTAGTTTTCTATTTTACTATGTCACTTGCTGTTTTTATAAAAGAGAATGTTGATCATTACCTTGTGTGCTCTGGCACAGTGCTTCTCAGTGTGGCCATACCACCATGCATGGGGCGTGTGCCCACTGTGGTGACGCACAGTGTCTGGAGTGGAGAGGCAGCCACACTAGGGGAAAGCTTGTGAGCAGAACCTGTTTCCCCAACTGAGCACCTCTTTTCCTGGCTGTAGCATTGAGGGGAAGTGCTCTGATAGCTGCTAAATCTAGGCATGGCTGTAATTTTGCCATTTCCTTTTCCACCTAAAGCACCTTAGAAGTCCAGTGATTGGGAGGAAGTGGTCTAACCTCCCAGCACTGCCTTTTATATTATTTTCTAAATGTAATTCATTGCTAAACTTTGATGCTTGGAATACTTTAAATCCAGACCATATCTGTGTTTGTCAGAGTGAGAAAGAGCATCTCACAGTAATTCTCCTGCACCTTATGGGCTGCATTAATCTCTTTCCTTTAGATGTGGCTACTGATTTCACCAAACATGGTTTAATTTTGAACTCTGGCTTTTCAGATTCAGAGAAAATGGCCCAGTACCTGGAGGAGGAACGCCACATGAGGGAAGAAAACTTGAGGCTGCAGAGGAAGCTGCAGAGGGAGATGGAGCGAAGAGAAGCCCTGTGTCGACAGCTCTCTGAGAGCGAGTCCAGCCTAGAAATGGATGATGAAAGGTGTGCAAATGCCTTATGAATCTTGCAAACAAAAACAAAGCCATAAGAGACTTTTTCTCACATCATATTAGATGTGGAAGAAGATGGCTTAAACACACAGCACATTTACTGTGATGATGCATAGGACCACATTAACATAGATGTTTAAAATAAGATAAATGCAAAAGATTAAAAGCTTTTCTTGGGCTGGGGATTTAGCTCAGTGGTTTCGCCGCTTGCCTCACAAGCGCAAGGTCCTGAGTTTGATCCCCGGTACCAAAAAAAAAGCTTTTTCTTAAACAGAAAAAGAAGGGGGAAAGATGCCATTCTAAAATTATTTGGTGGGGAGAGAAACACATGGTTTTTTAATTTGTCTAGTCCTGTATTAAATCTGGTGAAAGCATAGGGGAGACTTTGCTTCTACATAAGCTATAGAGCAGACTGAGGAGACAAATGCGTGCAGGGGCTGCATTTGGAAGAAAGGTCTGACACTTAAGATCACAAGAGGTGATATTAGCTGCCTACTTGGATGTGGAATACAAAGAAATACAAAGAAATCTTGTGTCACTGTGGTGGGCTGCTCTAAAGAAAGTCGAGGGATTGATTAAGTGGCAGCTATCTGGTTGAGGTGCATGTCGAAATAAGGAGCCCGATTTTGTTGAACCCCATAAGCCTGCATAGAAATGCCCATGCTAGTTCCACCTGTGAGCCTACTCAGTGGCAGGGTTGAGAGCTTCCCCTGGTCAAGGTGCATGCGCATGTGGCTATAAATCCCACAAAGAATGGTTATCAGGAAGTCTCTCAAGCAGAAATTTCTCCTCATCAGCACTCTGTGCTTGGTTGGCAAAGTGGAAGCTGATGTTCCCGGTGATCACATATCAGCATTCTCAGGTCTGTTGTGACTTTGCAATTGAGAAATAAGTCAGACTCAGCATGACCTAGCGAGAGTGCTTGGTACTCGTGTCTTCTGTTACATTCTGACGTGGGACCACTTGTTAAGTAAACAAGACTTCTTGTAAACAGCTGACATTTAGTTCATGGCCATATGTACCTTTAAACTTTATTTGATGACAATTCTCAGATGGCTTGCTTGGTTTTGAGTTTCAAGTCACAGTGCAGATGTAGCCATTAAAACAAGTCTTTGTAATTTTTGGAATAATGGAAGTGGATTTTGGCATTGCTGTGGTGTGCTGGAGAAAAGACTGGTCCTCTGTTGTATGCATTAGCTGTGTGACCAGGCCTCCATCCTGGCCTAAGACATCCTGGATTCTCTACCCTGTGTCCTTAAAGAGCAGCAATGGCAAACATTTTAGAGCTTTCAGTGATACAGTCCACTGCGGCATGCATGCCATAGGTTCGCCACCAGTGGTGTAGAGTGAGTTTTGCCAAACAATGGAGCAGTGTGACTCAGGAGTCCATGTTAAAATAATCCTAGCTATGGCATCACTCTCCAAACATTTGAGATTTTTCCTTCAAGATGTGAACTCCAAACATTTTCACATATGAACTCTCTTGAGACCTATATAAATGCAGGTGGTTCTGATAATTCCTCTTCTCTCATTTTAGGTATTTTAATGAGATGTCTGCACAAGGATTAAGACCTCGCACTGTGTCTAGCCCAATCCCTTACACACCTTCTCCGAGTTCGAGCAGGCCTATATCACCTGGTGAGTATATGTCTTTGGCAACCTTAGCAAATATTTCCAGTAGGTTTAGCAGGCAACCCTGCCATGTGCCCTTCTACAATATAATAAGCCTTATTAACAGTGGTCACAGTCATGTGCAAAACAAATCACTATTAAGACTGAGACTTAGGAAAAAAAAAAAAAAAAAGACTGAGACTTAGCTTGAAAAATTTCATCACAAGGGCTGTAGTACCAGCTGGTGTTTTTCATTTTAAAAAAATGTATTTAGCCTTAAGGGAATTTGTTTCTAAAATACTTTTTTAGGAAGACCATCTTGGACTAGAATGTTAAATCTTAGTAGCTGGATGGAACCCTTGGATAGATTTCGAAGATGCCTGATAGCTTGGCTTTTGGAGACTATTTTGCTATATTCTAAGTTCACTTATTATTATCCTTAATTAAGGTAGGAATTATTTTTCCCATGTTAAAATCAAGGAAGCAATGATTCAGAGGTTTATTGCCAGGAAGTGGCAAGGCAGAGCATTGCTGTGTCCAAAGCCTGTGTTCTTAGCATGAGCTGCCTCCTCATATTTCCAGTGATGTGTGAGTGAGACTTGGCCCCCGGTGGCTGGCCATTCAAGCGGGAATGAACTTCTGCCTAGCTGTCTGCTTCTGGCTTTGCTTTTGGATGCCTTTCCTGTAAAGGCATGCTTGTCTTCATCTGACCGGGAGAGCAATCTCCTCAGGGTCCTGGGCTCAGTACCAGCACTGTGTGGGGCTCTTGGGTCAGGAGGGCAGTAAATGATGCAGCAAGGAGAAGAGGAAGCAGATGACGGGATGGATGACAAGCAGAGGCCCAGAAGAGAAAAGAGGGTAGCTGCCCAAAGTATTGCATCTCATGACCAAAATGATGAGAGCGATGTTCTTGTGCCTGCTGATAAACAGGTTTTAAACAGAATTGGAGGGGTATGGGATGGAGAAGGAGTTTCACAGTAGAATAGAGGTGACTGTCTTTAGGGGCAGCAGCCTAAAGGTTGCATTTTGTCTGTTATAGTAATTAAAATGAGGGACACACCTGAGGTGGATGGAGGGGAAATGGTACTATAATGTTGTTCCCTTCCAACCAGTATGAGATGGAAATGGCTTGGTTTTAGGTTTGGGGTCCAGCACAGGCCAGCACTGTGCTGCTGTGACTTTTTTAAAAAGTTTTTTTAAAAGGAGAAAATCGAAAGATAAAACGTCTACCACATTGGCAGCATTTGTATGCTTAGGGCCTCTTTACTGGGTGACGTGAGACAGGAGAAAGAGGGACTGATCGCTGGCCAAAAGGATGTTTTGTCATGGATGAGCAGAGTGATTATTGCCCCTTGTTCTTGCAAAAACAATGTTTCTGAATCTGTTCCTGTTCTTTCCAGGGGTTTTAACTCTCTCCAAAGGCTGCTAATCCTAGCTGCCTCTCATTTTCCCAAAATAGCACTTGGGCTTCATTATCATGATAAAGGTCTTTCTTTTGCCTTCTGATTTATTGATGTAAACAGAAGGCATGAGTCAGGAAGAAGCAAGATGAAGGATTATTTTGTAGTTGATAGGGATACTGAATCATATTAAGTATAATTTAATGTCCTGTTTGATTTATTTAAACCTAAAGAAACTGATTAAAAACAATGTCGGCAGACATTGAAAAAAGGGAAAACAAATGTCAGATCTTGGTTCAAAGGATTACTTCTATGAGAACAAATACTCTGCAGGAAAACCATAGCTATTTGCATAATTTTGATTTACTGCACCTTCCCCTGTAATAGGACCTACATCAAATGTGGTTACATGGATAGATAAGCTGTTTGGTTTTCCTTTAAACTGCGTAATAAATACCACCACGATTTTTTTCTTTTAGCTAGACTAACAATATTTTTACCCTATTTTAAATTCTATAATATCAGCAAAGTATATTTTATCTCATACTTGGCAGCAGAATTACTCCATTCTTATCTGATATATTGTAGTGCTATATATATATAGTAAATTGGCAAAACTTAAATATTCCAATTTTCTTTTCACTTTAGTCTTTATTGGAAGAATTTGTGTTTCTTAGTATTAAGAATATTGATTCACTTCCTTAGAAATATGTTTGCATACTTTCATTTCCATTTTAAACATTTTGACTTTTCTTCCCCCCTTTTTATTGTTAACATTGGGAAACTTGCATTTTCACCAACTTTTTGAAGTATTTTGCATCCTTTTTAACATTTTGATCTAAAGACACAGCTTACAGCTTAATCCTCTTGATTAAATGTGGACTCATATAAGCTGGGTGTTGATTTTTTTTTTTTTTGGTATGGGGAATCACACTCAGGACCTTGCACTTGCAAGGCAGGCAGCGGAACCACTGAGCTAAATCCCTGGCCCTGCTGGGTGTTAATTTTTAACAATTATTTTTGCAGTTGTTCATTATTTTATAAAACCTAAGAAAAGACTATTCCCAGTTATCATGTGTTGATGTGTTTAGATCAGCAAGAGGCAGTAATGAGGTCTAAAAATAAGTCTATATCCAATAATAATGAGCATACCCAGGACCCAGATCTTGCTTTCTAATTCTAGTCTTCAGTGAAAAGAACTTGGATTACTTAGAGAGATGGATGTTTCTAGCATTGGGATATTTTCTAGTCTGAAAAAGCAATAAAGTGCTCACAGAACAAAATGATGTGGATATATCAGATGAATGTGGGAACTCTCAAACACCGAACTTAAAAAAGTTTGAACAATAAAAGAAACAGGTTCAGAGTAATGATGTTCTCTCAGTGATGTACCACATATACAAAGATATCACCTAGTGAGGTTATGCTTTCTTAGTTTGTATAAGCACACTCTGTGATGTTTGCACCATAATCAAATTGCCCAAGGACATGTTTCTCAGAATGTATTCCCATCCTTAAGCTGTGCCTAACTATTCTATTTAGTGAGCCAGTGTTTGTAATTTAGGAATTTCAACATAAATGTTACTAGATTTTTGTCTTTTGTTATATTTCTGAACCCGAGAACAAGATGCACGATTATTAGAATTTAAGAGCAAACAAACAGTAAGATATGTTCTCTGACTTCTAGGAGCTTTTCATTAACAACAAGGCCTGGGTAGAGATAAAAACTCATTTCATCCTTAAATAATCTTGTGAGGTAGCTTCCTTTGGTAGCCTCATTTGCCATTCAAGGAATCTAAAGCACAGCAAGGTAAACTAACTTGTCCTCCATTGCTTACTGCCAAGCTTGGAGCTACAATCCAAGATAATCCAGCAGTTGGGACTCTGCCTATCCAGAGCGTGGGCCAGGTGCTGACTGACACTGCAGGAAGGAAGAAGCAAGAAAGAGGAGACATTTCCAGGCCCTGAGCACAGGATGGACAGACAGTTCTGAGTGGGGAGTGGTGTAATCGCTGTGAATCTCCTGGCTCCCTGGGGGCCCAGTTCCACTGAGCCCATTCATTTGGTTTGGGTAAGGTGAGCAGGACTTTGAGGCTCACTGCTGAGAACTCCTGACCTAGAGCATCAGAACATAGTTTAGAGCTAAGGCAGAAGTCTTTCATAGCACCCAAAGATGGGACTTTTTGTAAGGTAGGCAATAGAAAATCTTTGAAAGTTCTTTAGAGGCTTAATACAGTCATAATCACCCTTCAGAAAAATTCGCCCAGTAATACCAGAAAATAGTTGGAGGGTTTTTTTTAAATAAGTTGAACCTCTTGAATTCTCTTTGAGAATAAAAGTTAACTTTTATAGATTTTTCTCTTAAGTTGATTACTTTCATAAGAAACAGAATTAGCATTTTCATTCCCAAAGCTATTTAAAGCTTCCACTTCCAGCTGAATAATGCCCTGGTGATACCAGTAAACATCATATTGAATGATCACTCAACTCCAAAAGACTTGTGCTTTATCTCTGAACTCCATTTTGTACATGTGACAAACATCCACAATTGGAGATGGAAATATGTCAAACAGAGATCACCACCAATTGATAACCTAGTTGAGGAATAAAACAAACCCTTACTTAGTATTGGATATTGAAGGCCCAGACTAGACTTGTGATAGGACAGCTGAAGCAAAAGGCTTGATGGCTTAGTCACTTTTCTCTTTCCTGAGACAAAATACCTGACACCCAAAATTAAAGCAGGGAAGGGTTATTAAGCTCAGTTTGTAGAGGTTTCAGCTCATAGTTGGCTGGCTCCAAGGCAATGTGGCATGGCAGAGGGGCATTGCAGAGGAGAAATAGCTCATGGCAGGCAGAAGGCAGCAAAGTAGTAAAGAAGCCAGACATCAAGCAACAAGTGACGACCCTCTTTCTGTCCTTTCTATCCTATCCAGACTGCCCACCCTTAGGGCAGGTAGCACTCACACTCAGGGTAGGGAAGCCTTAATCCTAGTATCCTACCATGAATCAATCCCAGCATCACATCCTTGATCCCAGCATCACATACTTTAGATTCATCCATCTCCGAAAAGCCCCACCTATGACCCCATGAGGCTTTAGGGGGACATCTAGATGCAAGCTGTAACAGTGACTGAATACCTTTCAGGAAAGCAAAACAAAAACAGTTCAGGAAAGCTTCCTGTTTTCATGTAATTCAGAAAAACAATAAGAGTTAATATGGCTTAGCATCTAATAGCCAATCACAGGAACAGAGTGGTTGAACTTAGGTAGTTCCTGTTCAAACTCTTCCACGTTTCTTCTTTGTTTCTATTTTCACTTCATTCACATGGAATCGATTGTGTGTTAGCTTTCCTGTTAGGTCCTGGAAACTCAAAGGTGTAAGACCTCTGGATCCATGCAGTGATAAATAAGTGATGGCCCAGCCAGTGAAGCCTTAAGGCTAACTCTCCAAAGACCAGAGCTGCTTAGACTGCATGTGGATGAAGGTCGTTTGGGGGACGTTTTCAAAGTGTGGCTGCTTGGACCCCAGCCTAGACCTATCTAATAATAAGATGAGTCTGGATGTGTGTACTTTTAAAGCACTTTGCAGATGATTCCCAGGGTCCTACATGAAGATTGTGTAGAACATTGTAGTGGGCTGTGATTGTTTTTTTCTTAAATGTCACTTTCTTTCAAAAACCACGAGCATACTAATTTCCACGTAGGTTTTTGTTCCCTATGTTGAATATTGTCAGGTTGCAAAGTTCTCAGTAGTTTTGTTTGCTATTGTCGCGCACGCGCGCACACACACACACACGCACACACACACGCGCGCGCGCGTGCGCGCACATGCACAGTGGTCCTAACTGTTGGTGTATGTTTTCTTCCCCTTATATCTGATTTTTACCCCCATTTGCTCCCCCCCCCCTTAATTCTCTTCTTTCATATCTTCCTATTTTTTTCCCTACATCTCAGTTGAAGTCCTGGCATGGCTTGACTGGCTTGACATTTTTTTTTTTTAATTAGATTGTGGTAAGAACACAACATGAGATCTGCCCTCTCAAATTTTTAAGTGTACAATACAGTACATATTGTTAACCAGAGGCACAGTGTTTTACAGCAGCCCTCTGGAGCTAATTCATTGCTTAACACCATCTTTCTGCCTCTTGAACAGCAGTTCTTTTCTTCTCTTCCTACCCAGTCCCTACCAGTGACCACCATTTTACTCTCGGTATCTATGAATTGAACTGTTTGATTTTATATGTAAGTGGAACCACATGGTATCTGTCATTCTGTAACTATCTCATTGCACTTAGCATAATGTCCTTCAGGCTCATCGTGTTATTCGCATATGGCAGGATTTTAAAAAAATTATTCCATTGTATATGTATTTCACATTTTTCTTTATCCTCTCATCCATTGATGGACAAATAGGTTGTTTCCACATCTTGGCTATTGTGAATAATACCAGCAAATATGAGTGGGCAAATATCTCTTTGAGATCCTGATTTTCAGTCTTTTGGATAAATACCCAGAAGTAGGATGGCTAGTTTATATAATAGTTCTATTTTAGTTTTGGGAGGCATCTCCATACTATTTTCCGTAGTGGCTGCTCCGTTTTACATCTCTACCAACAACATATAAAGGTTTCAGTTTCTCTACATTCTTGCCAACATTTAATCTTTTGTTTAAAAAAATAGTCGCCATTATTTCCCAGGAGAGTCTGGATATCTCATTGTGGTTCTGCTTTGCATTTCCTTGGTGATTAGTGATGTCAAGCATTTTTTCATGTACCTGTAAACCATTTGTGTTTGTTCTTTGGAGAAATACCTATTCAAATCTTTTGCTGTTTTTGTTTTTGTTGTTACAAGAGCTGCTAGGGATCAAACCTGGGGCTTTTCATGTGCTAGGCAAGCACTCTACCATTGTGCTATGCACAAGCCCCCTTTGTTCATTTTTTTAATTGAGTTAAAATTTTTTGTTTTTTGTTTTATCTTTGATTATATGTTAATCCCTTAACATATAAACTTCCTTGTATTTCAGATATTAATCCCTTAATAGATACATGGTTTGTAAATATTTTCTCCCATTCTGCAGGTGGCCTTCTTGCTCTGTTGCTTTTTTCTAGGATGTTTACAGTTTCAAATCTTAAGTCTTTAATTTATTTTGAGTCAATTTTTGTGTGCGGTGTAATGTAAGAGTCGAATTCCGTTCTTCTCCATACGGATAACCAGTGTTCCCAGTACAATTTTTGGAAGAGATCATCCTTTGCCCATTGTGTATTCTTAGTGTCCTTGCTGAAGACCACCTGATTATGTATGTGTGGGTTTCTTTTGGGGCTTTCTGCTCTGTCCTAGGGCTTGACTTTAATGGTCCTCATTATTCAGCATGGCATTCAGTGAGGCCACTGCTCTTCCTGTCTGGCTTTGTTTCTGTTTTTGGTTTTGTTGGGGATGAGGGGGTTGTTTGGTTTTTTTGTGGGCGATTTAGACTCTGCATTTTAAAACCTCCTAGATAGCTGAAGGCACTGGATAACAGAGTTAAAAATGATAGTTAATTTGTTGTCCTGTTTCAGGTCTCTCGTATGCAAGTCACACAGTTGGTTTCACACCACCAACATCATTGACTAGAGCCGGAATGTCTTACTACAACTCCCCAGGGCTTCACGTGCAGCACATGGGAACATCCCATGGTATCACAGTAAGTATCTGTGCAGTAGGAAGCAGAAACTTACTCTTTGGGAGACTGGGGTTGATCCCCTTAAACACATAGCTTTCTTCCTGTCTCCCCCATTTACCTTCACACTACAGAGAATTCCCAGTAGTTGACACAAAGTTCTTGTGTTGAAACTAAACTTCTTCTCAGCAAGGAAAACTGTAATCATTTTCTGTGAAAAAATTGCTCTAAAATAAATCTGATGCTGGCAAAAACAAAACAAAACTGCCCTTCATGAAATGTAATTTGAACTCTGGCCAGTGTCTCAACTGAGCTGTGGCCGGCTCCTTGCCATAAAGAATTATTGTTGCTTGTAATGACATCTGAAAATATTTACTATCTGCACCTTCTTCACAGGTCGCTAACCTTTGATATTCTTCCTGAAATCAACTCTGTTTTCAGTTTTACTCACAATTTTCTTTCCTCAAATTGAAAAGAAGCTTAAGTACATCTGATTCTAACATTAACTACATCTGATCCATTCAAGGTTTTTTTTTCTATAAACTTGCCGTATTGTTGACTAATAGAACAGTTTGGAATGTACCTAATAAGATGAGAAAATTGGAGAGAATGAAGGGTATTTCCAGTGAGAAAATGTTTCAAAGAAGAGCTCTGTTTCCTAAATCATTTAAGAAATTCATGGAGCTCCTTTGCCAGTCTGATGGACTTTGTGTAAAGCTAATAACTTTTTTCTAAAGAACATGGAAAACTTAGTGGGCAGGAGTGACAGAAGGAACTGGAGACACATAACTGGCAGTAAAAATTTAAGGGGTTTAAATGACAACTGTTTTTATAACTTTCATTGAAGTGTCCAATAGCAATGCATCACAAGCTTTGTCATAATTTTACATAGGTTTTTTTTTTTTTTTTTTTTTTTTTTTTTGAGATAGGGTCTTACTATGTAGTTCAGGCTGGCTTTGAACTCACTGTGTGTAGCCCAGGATGGCTTCAAACTCACAGTGATCTTCCTGGCTCTGCCTCCCCAGTGCTGGGATTACAGGTGTGCACAACTACACCCGGCCTTACATAGCTTTTCTCATAGGTGTAGATGTAAATGCTGTTTTTTAAATTTTCATGACGAATTCAGGAGCCACGAGGGATAAATAAGGAAATGGCTTGTCTTTTCCGGTTGGTGTTTTATTACCCCAGCCCCAAGTCATGCTCTACTGGAAATGAGCTGCACACCCAGGCTGATCTGCCATTCTTATCCTCTCCACAGAGGCCTTCGCCACGGAGAAGCAACAGTCCTGACAAATTCAAACGGCCCACACCGCCTCCGTCTCCTAACACACAGACCCCAGTCCAGCCACCTCCACCTCCTCCTCCACCACCCATGCAGCCCACCATCCCCTCGGCAGCCGCCTCGCAGCCCGCCCCTTCGCAACATTCGGTGCATCCCTCCTCCCAGCCTTAATGCATGTGCTTAGTCTGAATTTCAAGTTGGGACTCATCCAATGGAGCCGTCTGCTCAACGCCAAAGGCTTCCTTCCCTGGCATATTTGGATCTGACTTATTTGCACTGAGGTTATCTAGGCTTCACTATTCATTGTGTTGTAAATGTTTGTTGGAAACACAGCCAGTGTTGTGGATCTACAACACTAACCAGATGACTTTTTCCCCATCAGTGTTTTACTTGAATCTACATGTATATCCATTCCCTGGCTGGAACATTCGCTTTTTGGTATTTGGTAATACAGCAACAGTGTGCAATTTTTGCTTGGTTCCCCCACCCACAAGCTTCATTTTCTTGGCTTTTAGGTTTGTTAAATAAAAAGGGATATCTTTTTATTTTTTTTTCATGAATTTGCAGAAAATTACTGAGCTGTTATTACCTACCCCCCCTTCTCCAATTGTAATGGTGTTTATCAGACGTACCAAGAATTCAGCACTACAATTCAGACCTTTGAAAATCTAACTGTCAGTGCAGAATGGGGAGTTAAATGAATCAGTGCCCAAGATATATTTACTGTTTAATACAGCTTTCTACAGATATACTTTTTATAGGTTATTTTCAGTGTAAATCAACATCCATTATCTCTTGTAAAACAGCCGAAAGTACCAGATCACATGGCTGTTTCTTCTCCACATACATGGGATGGATAATTACTGCATTTTAAGATGTGATTCTGTCTTTTATCCTAAATGTTAATCTACCTACACTGGCCCCCTTTAACATGAGCCGAGAAGTATCCTACCCACCAGTGGCTTCGATGGCTGATTAGAATGTGCTCTTTGATTTCTGCTGTGGAGGGCAGTGTGATTGCAACAGAACCAAGGTGTTTTCTCCTTTGATTCTTTTTTGTGTTCTCCTGAGATAAAGTTCAAACAAATATTTTAATGGTGCAAAATACAATTAGAAAATACTATTTGAAATGGACATTATAGGAATATCTTGGCATACTGACCACAAAATATTTCATTGCTTGGCAGAAAAGAAGTATAGAGAAAAGTAGTACATTAGCATTGATGACTGCTTATTTCACCCAGTATAAGCAAGTACAGTGTACAAAGAAGTATATTCTGAATACATTATTTCCATTTATTTAGCACAAATTGTGTGGTTTCACTTTAAAGTGGAACACTTGAGTCACTCTTCTTAATACTTGCAACATCTTTTTTTGTTTCAGCAGTTTTTTGTACTTTGGTAGTAAAGTGATTTTTACCACCTGTGTTTGCATATTTATATATGCTGTGGATGAAAATAACTTACTAGAGAATGTATATTTTATGATGAGAACGTGTATCTGTTGGATATAATCAGAGAATTGAAAATTAATTTATCGGTAATTTTTAAGAGTTCGTGTTTTGTGACAGCCATCTCTAATAGCATAACTCCTTATGGAACACACTCCTAAAAATAAGGAATCATGACATTGTAGATATTTAATATTGTACAGTATAGAAACTTCCATTTTTGCCTTCGAATGTGTATTTAAGAAATAACAATGAAAAAGTGTTACTGGATAATAGTGTTTGGCTAGCATTTTAAGAACTTGAGAGTAAAAGCAACAATAGGGTTTTTTTTTTTTTTGCCCTCTTCCTGCTTCCACCCCCAAACTGAGAATGTCATCTTTAATTGTTAGGAAGAAAAATTATTGGTCTATAAAATTTTTATTTATAATGTGTATGTAATATACATAACCGTAGTACAGTTCTCAAACATGGGGAAGGAGTTTGACATTTGTTATTGAGGCTTTAGATTTTTAATATAATCACACCGGGCCATGTCAAACCGAGAGATATCTTGGACAGCTCACTGACCTTGCTGGTATATTACCCATTCCAAGGAACTCTGAAACTAGGCAAACACATTTTGCCTTCACGGTACAGTTCTTAGTTTCTCTTACAGGAGAAATAATGATATATGTTTACAAGAATCTTTTATGAGATTGTAGATTTCAATGCTGTTGGTTGGTGTCTTGTTATCCAAGAAAGTCCATAATGTAACGATCTTGTCTTAGTTTCCTATCAATTTATTTATCTCCTGAAAGCACAAAGTTAAAAACATTGCCATATGGTGAGTGAAAAAGCACTTGGAGTGAGCAAACAGTCCCTAATAAATGCCTTTTAGAGAGAAGTTCTTGACCTTCAGACTTTTGCAGTGTATTGCTGGTTCTCCTAGGCTCATCACTTCAAAACAAAACACAGCTCCTTTACACTGCACTTTTCCAACATAAATCTAGTTGCCTCTCTCTGCAGATATTCAGAACTGATAGAACAAACACTACTATTTTGAATTTATGATGTATCATGTCATTTTTAGGTGTTTTATGACCTCATGTGGAGCCTGTAGCAATTGAGCAGTACCTGCTAGGACAATTTCTTGACAATGGCTTAGCCACCAGGGACTGGTAAGCATCAGGTCCTGAGCCTGCAAGAGGCAGGAAGCTCCTCACTGGTGGGAAACTGAATTGCCTATATTGGACACTTCACGAGGAGCTGAACATGATTCCTGCCATTTTGTTGCCTGCTCATCCAGGCTGACCCTGAATTGATCCCAGAAGGTCCTTGTAAAATCAGCTGCTTTGCAGGCAGGTAGGGGAAACAGTAGCTTCATTTCCTGTCTCGCACAGCTGACAGAGACCCTTGGCTACCACTGTGCTGCTAATAGGATAAGTACTCTGTTGCCAGATTACCATGCCTTTTTTACAAAACCAAATTAACTCAGTACCTGACACCTCTGGGCTCTGAACTGAACTGCTTTCTCTCATCAAGCATGCTGGCATTCTAGACTGAATTCTAGAAATTTGGCAGGTGGTAAATGTGTATAAGATTTAGTTTAACTTGCTCCTTTTTTGAATGGAAGGAGTTTTAAATTCTGAGCTCCTGAGATACTGACTAGCAACCATGGAATGAATGTGTGACCAGAATGTGGCTTTGACACCAAGTGCTGCTGTGCCTTTGTAATTGGCGTCTAACTGATTCGGCCAGAAATAATCAATAATGTGAATTTTTGTTCATTGTTCAATTGTAGGAAAATACAATCTGTATTGCCCTTCGTTAGGTAAATAGGAACTTTTCCCTGCACAAAACCTTGCTTTTAGAGGATGCCCAGTAAGGCAAGAAAAATCATAGAAACTTGTGTGCTTTGAGAGCTTAATATTTTTATCAGTGCAGAAGAAATATTTCTGTGTAACTCAATCTTCTGTCTAGTACTTGTCTTGTAGGTAACCAACACTGAAAACTTTGTAGTGATGACTACCAAAGAAATACAGAGTAAAACAAACTTTTATTTCCAAAATATTACAGAGCCAGCCATTGATGCTGCTACAAGTTCCATGCTCAAGAGCCATTGTAAGAGAGATTGGGGGGTTTTTAGGTTTTTGATTTGTTTTTCTCTTCCTCCCCCTCCCCCCTTTATTTCTCTCTTTTAGAAAAGATGTTAGCATAATGTTTCCAGGAGCATTTTCCAGAATGCTCAGCAGTGGTGATTAACTGCCACACCCAGGTTGCCTCTTGGTCGGCAATTGAAGGAGTCTTGTGTTCATGATTGTGTGGGCACTGTGTGTGTGCGTGTGTGCATTCATGCCTTAACTCGGGTTACTGCTCAACTTTAGCTTTTGACTTAGTCTGCACATCATCTAGATTGTATTGTACATCTCAATCTGAACTTCATCCTGGCAAAAACAAAGTTGCAGGCACAACAGGTTAAGAATACATTCCTCTAGAAGAGCATCTGGTCAGATTGACCCTAAGTCTTCTTTGGACTTTATTTGTAACTTAGCCTGGAATGCAAAAGTGAACTGTCAAGCAGAAAGATGTCAACAGGGAGAAGAGGAAAGCCAGATGCTAGCATGCCTTTTGCCTCTGCATATCTGTGCACACTGTATGTTGTTCATGATAGCTTGTCTACAACTTGACTAGGTTGGAGTTCTGGTAGTAGTGGCAACTTGACATTCTTGGTCGGAGTTTAGAGAGATGTAAGACTTCCAATTAATGTCTTATTTACTTTATGTTGATTAGTCTTTGGTACATGTGCTGAATCAGAAACCTAAATAAAGATAATTTTTTAAAATGTACCTCTTGAGCCTAAAAATCTTTTTTTTCCCTCCTTGGTCTTTGATTTGGAAAATGAACATCATTTTCTTGTTGCTTCTGATGGACTTCCAATTTAGTTTCTAAACTCTAAAGGCTGTCTTAGAAAGTTAAAAAAAAAAAGTTTAAAACAGTATGCCATGTTATTCCAGCAGCAGTCTTCACCCTGCTGTTACCACGTCTCTGAAATGTGTCAAGAGTCTGAGGAGTCACTGACCTAGGCTGGGTGAGTATATTCTATTCTGTTAGCACAACAAAATTGCCTAATGCTAGATTTCTCGGGATGTCATAGCCCCATCAGGTGACACATATATTCAGGCTTTGGACATCACAATTGGTATATTAGGGTGCTTATTACTTAAAATTTTAAGTCTGACAAAAATGGCTTCAGGATCCATGCTGAGCTTGAGTACTAGTTCTTTCCCCTGGGGCTCAAGTTCTTACCTGTAAAATAACATGTATGTGCCTGGCTAAAGTGAATAAATTGGCTCAAAAGTACAATGTAGTGCTTCAAGCGATAAGACATTAACTGTGTCCTTTCATATCCATTTAGGAAGAAACAATATTTGGGGTGTTTCCATGTGAGGGAGAAGATGTATGGTTTATCAGCTATATTTTAGGAAGCCCATGTCTGTTAGAATCCACTTTCTGGAAGGAAAATGTGTACAGTGCTTAGTGAGATTCTTTTTGGAATATAGAACCCATTTGTGATACCTTCTTATGAGCCCAGACCATTAAATCAAGGCCTTTTTCTCTATATAAGAAAGTACAAACTGGGTGTGGTGATACACGCCTATAATCCCAGCATTCTAGGATGCTGAGACAGGAGGATCACAAGTTTGAGCCTAGCCTGGACAATTTAGCAAGACACTCTGCCAAAAATTTTGTAAAGAATTGAAGATGGAACTCAGTGTGAAAGCCCTGGGTTCAGTCCACAGTACCTAAAAAAATAAGTCAACACACCTTGAGTAAGTTGACTCTTAATATTCCATTTTTAGTATTAATGTAATGAGTTTTTCATTTGATTAGTCACTTGGTGAATGGAAAACATACCTGCCTACCCATAGCAGCTGGGTTTTACTTGTAACTTGGTGAAAATATTGACCAGGAAATTACCCAGGACATCTGAATTTAAGTCTTCATCCACCAGCTTCTGTTTTCTTTATAGTAGAGAAACCATTCTCACATCAAGATTTTCAGTGCTTTAACAGCAGGTAAATAAACTTAAAACTGTAAGTGTGCATTGTTTCTTTTAATGACTTTTAAAGGTTATGTCCATGGTGGTGTTTTTAAAATTGAAATATTTGGTTTAGAACACTTGTATTTTGTGTATAACTATTTGTAAGTCTGGGTGTTTGTTTTAATGTAGGGGCTATTAAAAAAAAGCCTTCTGGAAGTTGGATGTATGACTCATGCCTGTAATCCCAGCACTCTAGGAGGCTGAGGCAGGAGGATTGCAAGTTCCAGGCTTCCCTGGGCAATTGAACAACCTAGCTAAGTCGAAAGGATTGGGGAAGTAGGTCAGTGCAAAAGCCCTGGGTTCAATCCCAAGAACTGAAAGCAAAATAAAAACTTGTGGAAATGCAATTGTATTTTGTCACTAATGTCTAATCCTGACTTGACCTTTTTAACATTCTGTTTAGAAATAGAGAAAGAATTTAGTGCATGGTAAATTTGGTTTGTGTCTCATGTGTATGTGGACATGAGAGTTTGAATTCCTGTCCTTTGAAATTTTCTGACATATCACCCCTAATTTTATATTGCATTGGTGCTATTGAAGTAAATATATTTTGATTGTTTTCCTGATGTTCTTATTTTTTGGAACCCTACTACAGGTCACTTATGCTTGGGACAAGAAGTTTTTCAGATTTCTCATTTGCTCAGATTTTGGAATGTTTGCATATGCAAAATGAGATGTCTTGTGATGGGGATCCAAGTCTAAATGTGAGAGCAGGGATTTAGCTCAGTGGTTCTGCCACCTGCCTTGCAAGTGCAAAGTCCCAAGTTCAATCCCTGGTACCAAAAAAAGAAAAAATGTGAAACTTATGTTCATATATACCTTATACACATAGCCTGATGGTAATTTTGTACAATATTTTAAAATAACTTTATTCGTGAAACAAAGTGGAAACAAGTGTCTGAGACATCCATGAGTATATCTGAGCTAAAGGACTAGATTAGGAAGAAGAAGACAATTATTAGTTCCCTCCCATGGCCTCTAAATTTCTTTATGGAAAAACAGTGTACTTTTTTAGTTGCTGGGCTTTCTCTGTTCTGGGTGTTTGTGATGTACTGGGGAAGCCTTTCAGGTTATAGAGTGAGGGAACCCCCCTGCCCAGTTGGGTAGTGTGACTATTCATAAAACAAGGTGAGAATAGAGTGAGAGGCCAGCCTCTGACAGTGTGGCTCCGAGGTGTGGTCAGTGTCCTGTTGACCGATTTCAGACATTGGTAGGAGCTGCTAACTTGCCTCATTAGCCCTAGGTCAGTATTTGTGATTAGCAATTTAAAAATTTTTGTAACTGGCTGTGTTGGTGGTGGTGAGGGTATATTTCTCAAGCTTTGAGCTTGTTCTCCAAGGGGATTCCCAACATTTAGTGTTGGTTTAATAGAACTAAAAGTAGAGCAGTGCAAAGTGGAGGAAATCAGGCTTCTCTACTCTTCTAAATTTTCTACAATGGCAGTTTGTTGTTCTGATGGGTTAGAGTCTACATTAGAGCGATGGAACAGCATGGTACTCCGATTTCCAACAACTTTTGTAAATTTGAGGAATCCTGTCTTCATATTTTATCCCCTTATCTCAAGAAAAATCCTCAGTTTTCTTGGTCCTCAGAGAATCATTTGTCTCCATGATCCAGAATTGATTTACTGAGCTGGAAATGTAACAGTTTGGAGGGGAAAAGTAGTGATTTTATTTGTAAAGCAATTAAAAAACAAGAGCTTTTTATGTTACTCTGTTTGCTTTAGGAAAGCAGTTGCCTTAAATCATCAAGATCCTCAGTTGTTAAATAAGTTTTACTGACATTCAGACAACCCAAAGGTTATTCATGTCATTGGCCTTCTTTATGCAGCAAGAGTTTCAAAGACCTAGGGATGGAAAACACTCACATTTCAAACCCTGAACCACGTTTTACCTGAAATATTTCTGAGTCCATACGTTAAGTTACATTTTTGTTTGTTTTTCCATGATAACTAGAATTCTCTGTAAGGTTGAAACAACACATTTTTGTCTGTAATGGAAAGTTCATCCTATAGGGGGCACTAACACTCATATATGTACTTTAAGCTCTCCAGGTAAATCTGTTTCTGAGAATTTCATTTTCTCAGTATTTGGCCTCTTGTCAAATCTGGGCACAAGAAGACCAAAATACACATTTCTGTTGAAACTAAGTGTGAGTCTTGCCTGCCTGCCTTCCCTCCTTCCTTCCTTCCCCTTTCTCCCTTCCCTTCCTTCCTTCTTTCCTCCTCCTTTCCTTCCTGCCTCTTTCCTTTCTTCCCTTCGAAATGTATGCTTTTGCCGGAGCTACTCCTGTATATTGTGACAGCATGGCACTGGGACTACAATGCTTAATTCACATAGCTTTGACACCTGCAACTAGGGATAAATTGCATAACTACTCTGACTCTTATTTTTTCTTCTTGTTCACAGAGTTATATAAAGATAAATGTGTGTTATATGGGAAGCTCTTAGAATAGGGACTGGAACAAGTTAAGTCTTCAACTCTGAGCACCGTTATTGCATATTCTCTTATTCAGTGATTTTTCAGCAACAAGATTGTTACAATATTAAGTTTTGGTGATAGAAGTCAACTTAGGTTGTCACATCTGAGTTTCTTTTTCAAAATTAATTTTCTGAATATGAAGATAAAAAGACAATTGCATTCTTCAAAATGTACTTAATTTTCCTGGCAGCAGAGATATATGAATGCTGCAGCTAAAATATGTAACATTAAATTTTAGAATTTTTCTGACATATCTTTTGGAGTGCTTTGGTTTATTAAATAGATGCACTTGAGAGACCGGGGATTTAGCTCAGTGGTTCTGCTGCCTGCCTCACAAGTGCAAGGTCCTGAGTTTGATCCCTGGTACCTCCCCCCCCCAAAAATGGATGCACTTGAGAACAATGTTAAATGAAATAGATCAATTTAAATACTGCACGGTTTTTCTTATATGAGAAACCCAAGTTATAAAGAAAGCCAAATGAAAGGGAGCTAATAGGCAGTAATAGGAGCTAATAGGCAGCTAATAGGAGATAGATGTTTTTCAAAGGGGAAGGGGGTCAAGAGGTGGAGGAGGAGGGAATGAAGGGGAGAGAAAGGGGAGTAGAAAGGAAGTAAGGTGTGTTATGTACGTGGCCAGACTCCCCACAAGGAGTGTAAACATGTATTGCAAACATTCACTAAAAAAGAATAATAATAATTCCCTACCTTATTCTTATCGTTTCCCCTTTGGAGATGCAATGATACATTTGTCAGTTCCAAAAACTCCACCTCTGCATTCCCCACTGTGTCAGCCACACAAGTTCCCCTCCACCTTGCACAGAAATTGTAACTGGGCAAAAATTGAGCCAGACAGCAGAGGCACTGGCAGCAACTTTAGGTGGCTGTTATTTGTCACTTCCTCTCCACTGCCCCCTACTATCCCAAAGACATTCTCATCTCTTTAAAAAATAGTGGGGTGATTAGAGACAGGAAATTGGTTTCCTGATAAATATTATTCCTGCATGTCAGTCCTTTACTTATTGTCAGCTACTTTATGGTAACTCTTCCTGCAGAAAGCCAGTCTCCTTTCTCAGACAAAGCTTTGCTTACTTGGGATCTTGTGCCTTCTAAGGATATGCAAGAGTGAGGCTTTTCCAATGCTGACATTGCTCCTGGGGTGTGCAGAGCCTGGAGTCTCCCTCCTGCTGCTCTTAGGGCACCGGGATGGGCAGTGGACTCATGAGAAGGGAATGTGTTGGTTCTTGAGTTTTTTTGTTTGAGGGTTTGCTTAGTTTTCTTCTGGATTCACTGATTCCACTGTTCGAAAAATGTTCATCAGGCTTGGTTCTGCTTAATAAAAACCGAAAGGAGTGTGTTTAAATGATATTTGAGGAAAATACAGGAAATTGCTAAATTGCCCAGGTTGGGCTGGAACTTGTGATTCTCTTGTCTCAGCCAATTAAGGTTCTAGGATTATAGGCACATGCCACCACACTCAGTTTAACTACAATTTTGACATGTAAGAAATGAAAGTGAGAGAGCCACTCTGGCAACAAAAATGGGTGTTACAGGCAAAGTGTTTAAGTTTGTACATCTTGAGGCCACACTGATTGACCTGTAGCATCTAGGATTGTGTAACTAGATCTATGTTTGTACAATGATGGAGTCATTAACAATGCATCTGTCAGAATGTATCTCCATCACTGATGTACAACTGTACAAGAACTGATCAGAGAGTGAAAAATAAAAGTAAAGACCTTATATCTGCTCTACTCCCTTTCACCCATCTGCTCAACTAGTGGTCAATGATTTATCAGTTTCTGTTCCTAACAGTTGCCTCTGCTAGCTCTCACTGTTTTAAATTTGGAGTGAAGCACATCCCCCCCCCCCCAACAGTGTTTAGTTGAAAAGGAGTTCAGTTTGAAAAAAGAGCAGTCGGTCACTAGGCTTGAGCTAGGGTAAAACCCACTGGAAAAATAAGAATAAAGTAATTTAACAAGAATTGTTCCATTCAAAGATAGATAAGGCATCTCTATGAATTTCACTAACTTTTGTCTAATAACTCTTGTAACACTCAAAACAGGCAGGGTCGATATTTACTACAGTTTAGGTCTAAAGACATACTATTAGTGATCTAAACAATTTGATGTCAGTTATAGGGGATGGAAAAGGCACAGTCTTGGAAAGTTTTGAAAGATAGCTTTACAAATAAAAAGAGTGAATCCTGATAAACCAGAAGATAGGTATTAGCCCTGTTTACCAGGTCAGTTCTGTAGAGCCCTTTTTTGTGTGTACTGGGGATCGAACTCGGGTCCTTGTGCTTTTGAGACAGGTGCAGGAACCACTGAGCTAAATCCCCGGCCCTAGAGCCCTTTTTATGTATGGTACATCTCAAGATCCATTCCCCTCATCCCCTCCCCCCCCCACACCTATACTTTTGTAGGAATTTTATGGAACCCAAAGGGAGGGAGGCTAATATCCTTACAGGTAAACAAACTATAAAAAATTGATAATGAACCAGTTGGCGGATGCCTCCTACCATCTCAGCACTCCAGGAGGCTGAGGTGGGAGGACCACAAGTCAGAAACCAACCCAGGCAATTTAGCAAGACCCTATCTCAAAAAAAGGCTGGGGATATAGCTCATTGTGACGGGCCTGGGTTCAATCCCCAGTACCCTCCCCAAAGATAATATATATTTGAAAATCCATTTGTTGATATATTTTGAAAGCAGAGAAGTCAAAGTAGATAAGGTGGGATGTACAAATTTGGAAAGATTAAGATATCTGCAGAGAAGGAATGTTCAGAAGAGCAAAGGATAGTAAAACGCTAAAATAAGTCATGGTGTTTTCAATATTAAGGCTATTTTTGTTTGTTGGTTGGTTAACTCTTAGAAGATTTAACGCAGTGGCCTGTTTATTGTGGAGGAGCTGGTCTCTTCCTCATGGCTTATTTCAGCTCCTGTGTAGGTGTATTTTTGTCATAATTTATTCCACCTGTGTCTGTCAATTCCTTTCCCCTTGCGTCCTCCTGTGACATTCTGGCTCATGTTTCTTCAAAAGCTCTAAGCCAGTTATTAATAACAGCCCAGTGACTTCCTGATCCACAAGGAACATATGGTGTTTTTCACAAGACAGAGCTCATTCCCTTGACTTTGGACTTCACTTACAGAACCTTGAAGTAAGTATTGCTTTTTTTATTTTAACTGTAGCATTTTAAAATGTTGATATAGGAGGAAAGTTTAACATGTCTCTTGTCTATTTCTGGTAGAAGGAGAATATTATTATAGAGTAAAACTAAAACTCACAAAGCCTATATTTCCTGCATTTCAGCATCTCCCCACGTTTTATAAAGCTGATTATAAGAGATTAATAAATTAAAATCTTACTCTTTTCATTTCCTTTTTGGCTAAATAAAGTCAGGAAGAGAAGCAAGGGATTAATAACACTGTATATAAATTACTTGACCAAGCCTTGTGGCTGCAGCTTGATAGTCTCATCTCCATGTGTTTCCTCTCCAGAGAGAATTCCAGTGATTCAGAGTAATTTTTCACATATGGAAAGTATACACAGGGGGAGGCAGACGCAGACATGCACACTTGTTGTTTTTCCATGTTCCAGGTTAGGGTCAGAGGGCACAGTCTTGTTGCTTTGGTCCATTATGTCCTTGTTTCTTAGCCAAAGGCTTTGTCATTGCAGCCTTCTTTATGATTGCTTCTGTGAGTCCTGCAAAGTGGGTCACTGTGTTTTCTGTCTGGAAAGGGGGATCCTGAAGTCCAGAGAGGCAGAGGCTCTGCTTGGTCCTCATGAGCAGAGCTGAAACATGATAATCCAATCCTTCAGGACATACCCTGTTTCCCTGAAAATAAGTCCTAACTGGAAAACAATCAGCTCTGAAAACTAGAGATCAGAAAAAGCTCAGTCAACCTATCCTTGCCTTACCTGCCTTACAGAGTAGCCACCCAGCAAGAAAATAGTTATGACAGGCAAGGCAAGGAGAGGCTGGTTGGGACTGGCATAGTTTTCAAGGCTGATTTTTTTCCAGTTAGGTCTTATTTTCCGGGAAACATGATGAATATAGCTTTCAGTTTTGGTTATATATGTTTAATTCCTGAATATGTGCATCAGGTGCCAAGATAAACTGCATAAGGGAGGCATTACAGTGAATTAGAATGAGGCAGATGTGGGCCTGGGGTGGGGTCCTGGTTTTTTCTACTTATAAGTTGTATGACTTTAGCAGTGCCCAGCCACTCTCAACCACAGTTTCTTCGTTTGTGAAATAAGAGCCATAATCTGTTTACAGGGCTGCAGAGTTTACTCATAATGTATATAAGTGGCCTACTCTAGTGACAGCTATTTTAGCATTATTTATATAATCCCTCATTCAAATTTTTCTCAAATCTTCATAATCATCTCTCTCATTTGTTTCAAATTCAAATCCAGAGCTTCCAATTTTGAACTTTGATGGCAACATTACTCTGAAGTACAGAGACAACATTGATATTTTCTGGTTTTAGTTAATATCTTCATTTTTAGGATGGTGCAAGTGATGCAAATTCTGGGAATGGTGGACTGGGAGATGGTATATTGTTAGCAGTGCAGGACATGAAGGCTGGAGCTAAGATCAGCGAGGGAGAAGCACCAAAAACAATTTCCAAACATAAGCTATTACTTGCAAAACCTTGCCTGCTGTATTATAATGAGCATCCTAAAATTTTTATTTGATTATATACACCTATGATTCCAGAGAACTGATTCCTTTCTCATTACATTAGATTACCTTCTATGTGTCTGGGTAGGATAGAAAGGAAGGTTGTCCCAGGGTGACTCTGTCACTTAGGAGATACGATGACAGCGTATTTTCCTCTACAAGCTTGCATTCTGAAAAGATGTATTGAATGTCTAGTAGGTGCAAAATACAGTACTAGCCTTAGTAAGGGCCCATACACTTTTATTATGGCAAGAAGAAGTCATTGCCAAATACTTTTGAGAACTCAAGAAGCAGAGAGGTTCACCACTGTCCTCCATTCCCCCACCTTAATCTGGGAATGACATTTATTTGGATAGCTGAGTTCTGCAGATACAAAACCCCACAAAGCTAACAATGAACCCACCTCATTCTCATTCCTGAGTCTTCATACGACTTGAAGGATGACCCTTGGATGGCACTGCTGTGTTGGGCTCCCTCAGGGTTCCTGGCATTTCACCTCGCCTTGTAAGAGTTTACCGCAGTGTGGTGCATTACAGAGGAAAGGGGTGCTGGGAAACTTGACAGGGAAAAGACTGATGATATTTTGATTTTGGGAGATCTAGAATATTTAATGCCAGCACCCATTCCTAACTGCATAATGTATGCATTTTTAGGAGCAACGCACAATCTACTTGGGTGTAGGGCTGTGGCAACTGAAAGTCTTAGGCTTCTGGAGTCCTGATAGTAGATGATTAAGAGGATGTTTTTGTTCATGCATAGAACAAGAGTTCATATTATGGTCAGAATAGGGACTGAAAACGTTTGAAGCACAGCCACTGGTGACTTGGGAAAGCCAAAATTGCACAAGTATTGACCTGGAAAAAAGGAGGATAAGCAGTACAGCCAAAGAGATGTGATACCCAGACTCCTGACAGTTTTGGAACATTGTTGTCACACTGGAGCCTGTTGGTGATCAGGAGCGCTCATGAGAGCTGCCAGGAACCCCAGTGTTCCTCTGGCCCCGTGTCTGCGTATCTACCTCAACTTCCCACAGCTTCTTTCCGATTCTGCTGCTTTGTCTACTCTTTATGGAGGGTCAGGCAGCATCCTGGGCTCTTGGCTTATATTCTTACCAATCAATCACATGACACTCCGAAGGCTAAACCTGTGGGCTTTGGAGCCAGACAGATCTCCATCCAAATCCACAGTCATCTCCTTCTAAGTATGTGACCTCAGACAGATTACTTAACCTCTTTGGGTTTGAGACTCTCTCACTGAGGAAACAGTGGTTTTAATATTCCACCTCATGATGTTTTATGAGACTAAAAGTGTGTGTGTGTAGGCACTTAACTGTTATGAATTAAATCCTTTCAGACTCTTTACAAGGATATTATCTCTCCTCTCCAGAAGAAGTAGTGTTTGAGGTTAAGTACCTTATTCAAGGCTACAGAGCTAACAGTGCCAGAGCTGGGATCTAAAACCTGTTCCAGCCGCCTCCAAATCCTGCACTTTCTCCTCACTCCACCTTGCTGACTGACCACCTGTGACAAAACACTTTTCTCTTTTCAGTCAAAGTTTACTTGCTCAAGTTCTGTCTTATGACCCTTCCTCACACAAATTTCTGGTTGTCACTTATGATTTACTTTATAGTGGACTTTGTGGTCCTACATTGGGAGATGGTGAACATTGGCCTGAGTCAGATGTTGGGAGGTGGTGAATGTAGAATCTTTCCAAATAGCCAAGTCTGGGGAAACAGAGTCCAGTTTGTCATGAATGTCAAGAAATTGCTAAGGCAGTTATCAAGCTAGCTCTAGAAAAGGACGACCATGTAGCCCAGACAAATCTCTGTATTTCTGTCAAATGAGAAGTTTATGAAAGATCAAATATCATTTCTGGTGCCAACATTTTTTGAATACTTTAAGCCTTTGACTACTATTGTTTTTCTTAGCTGGGAAGAAGAAAAACGCCTTGAGTTCATGTCTTAGTCAAGAAACAAGGTACAACAAGATTCAGGGCTATAGTTATTTAAAAGCCATATTCTCATGTGAGCGTTCTCTCCTATAAGGCTCAAGTCACTGATAAGTACATTTCTCAGATATGTGTAAAATTCTCTTTCTGATATAATTCAGCTTTGGGCAGAATTTAGTGGGGCCTTAATTAGTTTGGAAAATGCAGCTTGAACTCAAATATCAGAAATGTGAAGGAACATATACATTTACCATTGAATATCCTCAGATTTTCCATTAACTCCTGAATCATTCAAATTCGAGAAGTTTAAGGAGGGAAAATGTCTATTAAGCCTTAGAAACAGTAACCATCCCAACAAGACACTCTTGTCCTAAAGCCGTACAGGTCTTGGGCCAAAATTCTGTTGCCTTCCAACTGCTTGACATTTCCTAATTACAAACAAGAAACAAAGGTAAAACCATTAAGATATAATTGTCATATGATTTCTCAAGTTTTGAAAAGACGAATCTATTGAACATACCTTTATGGGAAAAGGAAACATGTTCAAAGGGAAACAAGTTGAAAACACTGAACTTTGAGGTTTTATACTTAAAATTATTTTCTGGGAAAAGAAGTCTATGAGTATTGTCTTTCTTCTTGCAGTGGTCATTTGAACAATAGGAACTTTCAGTCTTCCAAGAAAGCATTTACCTTAAATGGAGTTAAGTCGATAGTTGCTGAGAACTAATTAGTCACTGAAACTGTGAAGCCCTGGAATACGAAACAGATTAGGCCACCTCTACCTTTGAGGAAGACAGCAACTCCATGGGGTGGTGGATGAAAACAGCCTTGATCCAGTGTGCTGAATGGCAAGATATTACTGACAAGTGGAAAATAAATTCTGCATGAAAAGGTCACAGGGTATCACAGAGGTAACACTGAGTCTCAAAAGATGTGTACAAGTTTGACATTTGTGTGTGTTTAGGTGCTTAAGGAGCCTGTATAGTCTAGTAGGTAACATGCTAGATTGCTATCAGAAATAATTGCCATAGCTTATTATTTATTTCCTAAGTACAAGTATTATTTATTTCTCACACTACACTTTGTAGTAGGAATTATCACCCCCACCCAGTTTACAGAAGTATTGACTGAGGCACAGAGAGTTACACAAATCACCTAAAGGCTCACTAAAATAATAGACCTGATATTCAAACCTTGTAGAACCTTCTGTTAACTACTAGGTACAACCTGCTAGGTACAAGATGGCCAATGGTAAGAAACAAAGCAGCAAACAAGAATAAATTAGAGGCCAAATACATTGGAATACACTTGTAATCCCAGCCACACAGGAGGCTGAGGCAAGAAGATTCCAAATTTGAGGCCAGCCTGGGCAACTTAGGCTCTATGTTCAAAAAATGAAAAGGCTGTGTATATAGCTCAGTGATAAAGCACCCTTGGGATCAATCTCAAGGACCATTAGATAGGTGATAGGTGATAGGTAGATGGATGGATGGAGAGATAGACGGATAGATAATAACATGTAGATAATTGAGAAGTGTATTTCCCTCACTGCTAGACAGCAAGCTTGTACTTGTGGTCTGCGGGGTGCTTCATGGACAAAAGGCAGATTGTTCTGATGGGTACAAATTAGCAATTCATTCTTGTAAAGATATTCTGAAAAAGTTAGGGTTGTCACAGAGGTAAAGGTGAGACCATCTTGTTGTTCAATAAGAAGTTCACATTTACAGAAAGGCAGGGCTAAAGAAGGAAAATGGTTATATAATTATGTGGATATTTCCATTGCGGTGTAGTCAATTTCCATTCTAATATAGACCCTCTCAAAATTAACCTCTCATTTGAAAACATTAATAGATCAGTGTAGCTGGAGGAGAGTGACAACTGGTTTTAGTGTCCTGGGTTAGTATCAAGACCTGAGCTCAGAATACTGATACTCCATGTCCTTCTCCAAGTAGTACAGAATTAGGGCTGGGCACATAGTAGATCCCTCAATAAGTGGTAGTTATCATAATTTATTTAGTAATCTGTTAAGCAAAAATGAATAGATTTCAGTTGGGTGTGTTGGTCATGTCTGGAAATCCCAGCAGTCTCTGGGAGGCTGAGCAAAAGGGAGGGGAGGAAGAAAAGAAAGAAAGGAAAGAAAGAAAAGAGAAAGAAAGAAAGAAAGAAAGAAAGAAAGAAAGAAAGAAAGGAAAGAAAGAAGGAGAAAGAAAGAAAGAAAGAAAGAAAGAAAGAAAGAAAGAA